CACCGGTCGTCTATCCCCTCGCCTCATCTTATCCCCCCTCCGTCCCCGCTTCCTCCTCCTCTTCCTCCCGCTCACTCCCGAACCGAAGCCTCAAGAGCTCCCAATGGCTTCCACCACGTTCTCCTCCGCCTTCTCCATCCTCTCTCTCCCCTCCTCCTCACCATCCCCCTCCGCATCGGCCCCCAGGACCCTCCCCGTCGCCAACCGCCGCCGCCGCGCCGTCGCCGTCGCCTCCACCGCCACTGAGTCCCCGAAGGTCCTTGAGCTCGGCGACGCCATTGCCGGGCTCACCCTTGAGGAGGCTCGCAACCTTGTCGACCATCTCCAAGAACGTCTTGGCGTCTCTGCCGCCTCCTTCGCTCCCGCTGCCGCGGTCGCGGCTCCCGCCGCGGCGGCGGCCGAGGAGGCACCGGTCGAGAAGACGGAGTTCGATGTGGTCATCGAGGAGGTGCCCAGCAGCGCGCGTATCGCAACCATCAAGGTTGTGCGCGCACTGACCAACCTGGCGCTAAAGGAGGCCAAGGATCTTATCGAGGGTCTCCCAAAGAAGCTCAAGGAGGCAGTGAGCAAGGACGAGGCCGAGGAGGCCAAGAAGCAGCTCGAGGGAGTCGGCGCCAAGGTTTCCATAGCGTGAGACTAGGTATACTAGGCTCCTTTTTCTCCCATTACATTTTATGTTTCATATCAATCTTTTGTATTCCTCTTGTAATTGCCGTGGATTTTGTTTCATATGAGATTAGTGCGCGTGTGGAATTATTAGTTCATGTTCGTGTGTTGTATCCAATCTTGTATACTTACCGGATGTTGCATTATTTAGATTCCTAATGGGTACTATTGGTTTTGGATATGATACTGTCATGTTTGTAGAGATTGTGCATTGCCAGTTTTAGAGTTTTATTGGAGCAATAGAGCGGCATATCTCTCGTTTTGATTTTTGAGTCTGTAATAGCTCTCAGTTTATAATTGCCCATCAGATAATCTCTTGGAACATCAGATCTGTTATCAAGGATTGGAAGTATCTCCCGAGTAAAAGAAGAATCAGAAATAGTTCATACATCACACTGTATTTAGTCAAGGTCAATTCGGACTATAACTTCCGGGTGGGGTGTTGCTAATCATTACATTACATTACATTGTTCAACAATGCTACATCATATTGTTCTACATTGTTCAAGAATGCTACATGACATTTATCTCTCCAGGGTCTTACAGAATGGACAGTAATGTGAAAGTGTACCCTTTGTCCCCCACATGGAGCAATGTGTGTTTATGTTTATACTGTATCCACACTTAATAGCATGTACGGTCAGTATGTATAATGAATAATTGATAGGTGTGCTGTTGAGCATACCACTGATCACAGAAAATACTATACCAATTTATCTAACCTTGATTTGCCTACTGTTGTGGAAAACTTCAGGCTTCACACTGGATTGATGCCTCTCCGCATACTAAAACATCTTCCTGATATGTTTTTCTTTATTTTGAACAAGGAACCTAGTTATTTGTATTTCCACTGAGAAATTCATGATGTCGCTAGACCTTCTGAATTTTGAAGTATAATGCCAAACAAATGAACAATTTAAACTCTATGCTTTTTAGGCTGTACCTTTGCAGTCAGCTCAGCAGTGTGTAGAAGTTGTTTGTCTAAATTATCTTTCAGGTGGTATGTATTTACATATCACCCAAACCAAGATGTAGATGATCGATTCTTCCCACGGTATGACGTCGCTAAATCCTGGCGTAGTTTGTCCAACAATATTGTAATTTGTAAATAGATGTAACATTCATAGCTGGTGCACACGCTGGGATCTCAGTACCTTCTTGATGCAGGTTGATCGCTCGTCTCAGTTAGCTTGTTCTGAGAGTTAGCTCAATTTTAGTTCCCCATTTTTCAAAAATACTTGCGCTACATATAATTTGCCTTAAGACGAGAATTCATCCAGTGCTTCCTTCATTATTATATGATATTTACAGAATAAACCTCCATGTTCTTAGTTTGATATCATTTATCTCCCTTCTCTGCAGAACAATGTGAGCATTACATTGGGCATGGCATGTGAGTTTGGGTAGTAGAAGAACATGAACTCTCCATATGCAGATATATGTGTGGCGCTGAAACTGGGAAGTTCTCTGAAAATATTGTGTTTGTGTCTAGAGTATTTTGTTTTCCCGCGTGATTTGAATCTATCGAAGCCGCTGAAAGTTGTTTTATGCCCACTTTGTATTTCTGAATCTCTAGTTCTGCTTTCCAAAGTGTAATTGGGTGATGCTGTTGGCACCCTTGATGTTACCCATCCACAAGGATCAGTCAGGTAGGCCAACGGAAAGAGTTGCACTTTCGCCTCTCGCTTTGGTACGTGTATATTGGTAGGCATCACCCCATCAGCAATATTTGGCCGGAGAGACCTTGCAAACAAAGTACTCCCTCCGTTCCCAAATATAAGTCTTTCTAGAGATTCCAACAAGTGACTACATACGGAGCAAAATGAGTAAATCTATACTCTAAAATATGTCTACATACATCTGTATATTGTAGTCCATTTGAAATGTCTAAAAAGACTTATATTTAGAAACGGAGGGAGTGCATCTCATGTTACATCATTTAACTTGGACTTGACAAAGTTCACAAAAGATCGGACATAGCAAGTTTAATTGGACATATTGCAAATTTGCAAAAAATCATCCTACAATGGATTAGATAGAGCAAGGGGGCGTCGGACTCCACTTCATCACCGGTCCCTTCCCCTTGGGGTCTCTGGAGCAACAGTAGTATTCCGCGGTCGGAGGGGCATTATCGTCATACCACCTCATATCCACCCACACATAGGATGGTTTTGGGAGTGCTAGACAAACTCAGACATTGGGGTTGCATACGAAGGGTCTGATTAAGTGTCTTTTTTCAATCCAAGCGGACAACCCTATATCTGCCTCACATATGAAGTGTCTAGACGTTTGGAGTAGGGTCCGGTTGAGCGACTTTTTTCTGAACTGAGCCTCACATATGAAGTGAGTTTGGGGGTGCTAGACGGTCTAGACGTTCGGACTAGGGTCCGGTTGAATGGCTTTTTTGGGACTGAGCAGCCTAAACATTTAGGGATGGTTTGAGGGGTCCGGCTGTTGATCCCCTTTGCCTGACTATCCTAAAACAAGATACAGGTTATAACTATTCGCTATGCAAAAAAAATATAAGATATTTCCTCCGTTCCTAAATATAAGTCTTTGTAGAGATTTCATTATGAATCACATACGGATGTATATAGATGCATTTTAAGTATAGATTTATTCATTTTGCTTCATATGTAGTCCACCTAGTGAAATTTCTACAAAAACTTATATTTAGGAACGGAGGGAGTAGTTTAGAACACTAAAGTACACCTTCTGTTTGTGAAAGTGGGGATCATGGGTGCTCCTAAATTGGGCATTCCAGCCCCCTAGTGGGTTAACTGCCGCATGGAACACACATCTCCAGGAAGCAGCAGCCCTGAGCCTCTGATCGGCAACATGGCATCACACAGAAAAAACAAAGCGTATATTAGCAACATGCAGACAAGCTCAACAAAATAACCAGCAATATAGTACCGAATGTTTTTTGGAACGGGCAAATGACAAATTGTACATTACGACTTCCAAGCAGTTGCTATACATGCACAAATTTTCGTAGCAGCTGCTATACATGAACAACTTCTCCAAACATGAGAGCACATTTATTTCAAACTGTTCGTGTTCATCCTTATGATACATGCTACAACACTGGACTTTGTGAACATTGCACACCATTTCCCACCCTCATAGAACAGAAGCATATATCATGCTCATGCTTCGGCAGCCTTCTCTGCAGGGCTGTCTCCCAGCTTCGCCTTCTTTGATTCATAATCTTTCACGGCAGCTTTAATTGCATCTTCAGCAAGCATACTGCAATGGAGCTTTACTGGTGGAAGTGACAAGTGCTTTGCAATCTCACTGAAAACAGAGCAGTGGAGCTTGTTATTGTTTTACAGGGCTTAATAGTTTTATTGAACATTAAACAGCATTCTGAAGACATCGAGTCATCAGCAGTCACATTGCAATCATAGCTAAAAGAAGGAAATGAGTTGATTAATCTGATGTGATTATAAGACCATGAGCTGCAGCTTTCCTCGGATGCAATTAGCATCAATATTAATTTGCAAATATACACAGCCAAACAATTATAGAGTTAACAGTCATATCAAGCCTCCGAACACAAAGACCAGCTTGTACCACTATGACAAGCTCATTAAACAATATACTCCCTCCAATCCATATGAATTGTCACTGCTCTTACTAAAGTTGTACTAAAGCAGCAGTATAAAGTTGTATTAAAGCAGCAACAATTAATATGGATAGGAGGGAGTAACATAAAGCAACACCAGCTCAATCAACAATCAAAACTAAGCCGAGTTATTAGCAACTCCAAAAGACCATGTTATTAGTAACTTGTAAAGACCATGACAGTGCAATGAAATGTTAGTAAGCAGATCTACAGCATGCAGGCTCGATGCATTCTCAAACATTTTTTCCTTCTCAAAATTCTTCAAAAGCAATCAAATGCCACAACATCAGCTTGAATACTAGACGGTTATTGTAAGATAATCAAGAGTCAATGAAGTATAGGCCCATCCAACCTCCCACATCTTAATTGCAAAGGAAACTATGTATCAGGACCTTTGCTACAGAGTTACCACAAGACGACTAGTAGATACGCCTGTTCAGTGAATGCAAAGTAAACAACAATACAAAAATGTTGAACAAAAGGACAACCCTAAATGTTTGGGAAAGACAGGAACACCCTTTTAAATAATTTAATGGATCAAGAATATCTGGCAGAACTTACGTGTTCTTGATACTCACTACTTCCTCCATTTGCTTTCCCTTCACCCATTCAGTAGCTGCAAGGACAATGGTAGGATCAAGAATTGACTTCGGCACTTAAGATTTGATAATATGGTTATCATACATCTTGCAGGGAAATAAGTATACATCAGAAAAATGAAAACGAACTGCCTCCACCCAATTCATAGACTATCAACTACTAGCAGCAATTATGTTGAGATATTTTTGTTTAGGGCCATGATCTACAAAAATAAGCAGTTTCAAATAATAATCGAACCTTTCAAAGGTGTCTGCTCAGCATTACAGAACACTCATTTCTAACTTGGATAAACAACTACCAGTTGTAGAAACTGAAAATGAACTAGGAGGCATCATTGTTCTATGAGATAATCATCCCTGTACAAACCAAGAAAAATCAGAAACTAAGAAGGCAAATAGATCGAAGACCACTTACACAAGCAATAGCATACTATCCACAAGCCAGACAAATGGACCCTACCCTAAGCAAATTCTTAAAATGAGCTGTGATCCATGCATGAACTTCCTATCATACAGCTTGTAGAATAGGTCTGCGAACCAAACTGAGCCAATTCAAATGCCACAAGCCAATTCAACAACCAGCAACTAAAATAGACCCAGAGAAAGAGCAATATCACAATCGATAACATTCGCACTACAGCTGCTACCTTTCTTCTAATCTAATCAGATTCGGCACCCACTAATCATCTCTTCTGTCGATGTTTCAGTCAGAATCATCCTTACAAACATCCTATCATCTAATAAGTAGGGATTTGATGATAGGCCATCGTAATTGGCCATGCCCAATCAAACTGCATCGATTACAAACAGGTAGAAAAAAAATCGCATCCTTATCCGCAGAAGCTAATCTAACAAATTATCTTCCTCGATACAATTCGCAGAAGCTAACCACCTCTAAATATTGCAACGAATATAATAGATTAAGTCGACGGCGGGAGAAAAGGTGGGGAAAGGGGGCGGGGGAGCGGTTTGAGGGCTCACCGACGGAGGACGAGGCGATTGCAGAGCCGCAGCCGAAGGTCTTGAAGCAGGCGTCGACGATCTTCCCGGTGCCTTCGTCGACACGGATCTGAAGCTTCATGACGTCGCCGCAGGCCGGCGCGCCGACCAGCCCGGTGCCGACGTTGGGGTCGTCCTTGTCGAAAGACCCGACGTTCCGCGGGTTGTTGTAGTGGTCCACCACCCGCTCGTGGTACGCCCTCGCCCCCGCCCCCGCCGCCGCCAGCCCCGGCGCAGCCCTCTCCCCGGCCCCCGGGCCGAGGAGCCGCCGGAGTCCGGGGGCGACGAGCCGGCTTCCTCCCGCGCGCAACATCGCCAACAAACTCGGGGGTGCCTCTGGATTCTTCTGGCGTTCTCCGGCTCCGGATGGGTTGTTTAACCTGGGGAAAGAGGGGAGGCAAATTTGTGGAGTTGTGGTTTCGACAGTTTATGCGGCCGCGGAAGTCGGAAGAGGTGGCGATCCGGTGCGCGGCAAGGGGCTAGGGCAAACCTGGCTCTCGGACTTGACTTGAGACGTGGCGTGCTATTTGTGGAGAAGACCTGGCCGTTGCTGTTTTGAGTGGTGGGTGTAGGAGATCCGCGCCGGTGAGAAGCGCAGGCCGCATGGATGGATAAACATCAGGCAGGCTGTGGGCCTTGGCTTTTCACTGGGCCTTAGGTCAACCAGCATCAAGCCCTAAAAAAAGTACAACCAGAATTAGTTTTTTCAAAAACTAATGTTTTCTCCACTCTCAGTAGGGTTTCTTCCTCCTCTCTGAGGCTTCAGCCGACATTATGATCTCTTTCCCTCCCATTCGGCGATCTCCTCGTGACTACGAGCTTAGACTAATTTTCCCGGGGGCCGGTCTTGTATCCCTGCCCAGTATTGGCTCGCTTTTTGCTTGGGAGTCAAAGGGTGTTTGGTTTCGTGCCCAGTTGATCAATCTTTGTCGGGCAAGGGAAAGTGATCCAAGATATCCTAGTGTAATCACGCACCACCTCCCTATGGGCTATGGAACAAACGAAAGCGTCAATTTTGTGACCATAACTCAAACAGGTCAAATATGGCAACCCGTAAGTGAAAAAAATCGCTCATCTGGGCCACTGGAACACACGATCTCTGACTAGTCAATTTTCTGACCAATCTGTGATAAAACATCCAATAGAGCACAAAATACCTCATTACTCATGCTGGTACGAAAGTCGGCTAGTGATAATGTTCATCACTAACGCGTGGTCAATGGTCGGCCAGTAATGCAGGGGTCGGTGCTATTTTGATCTGTAGTAGTGTTCGCACAAGGCCGGCATACTTACCCTCGCCTACTAATCTCTAACCACTTTGCTAAGTATACCCCTAGTAAGTTGATTTTTGAATTTAAACACAACATTATTTAATTTAGGCAGCATAAAATTCTCATGAACATTAGAAGTGGTCCCAACAAAAGAAATTTAAAGTACTTGGTTGCTTAATTTGCGTGCCCGAGCTTTAGTGACTGGTCCTTATTTTTTGGAACTTGAACATGTGTAGCGCCAGAGGCTCTAAGTGTAACAGTGATAGGTACTAGAGATGTCCTCATCACACTCGGAACTTCCTCAAATGTGTCATGCTTATGACACAATATGGGAAAGCTCCTGCTACTAAGCAGTCAAGGGGGCGTTACCTAGCCAAGTTCTTCTAAGAATATAATATGTGAGTCTTTTATATCGAATGCCCAAACCAGAAGAAAATACGGTTCACCTTGGTCTTAGAGCCCACATGTTCGTTACGTAAGATACCTTGCCACACACCCTCCTTGGTAAGAAGCTTAAATGACTAGTTACATAAGAGCGCAATATTTTCACATGTAGATCTTGAATCTCTTTGCTACACACCCTCTTCGGTAAGAACCTTAAATAACCAGTCACTTAAGAGCACCATACTTTTGCCACCTAGATTTTGAATTTATAAGCCATCTCGATCTTTTGTGCAGCATATGGCACTCCATTAATGAGCCAATGTTTCTTTTTTCCATTGCCAATATCAAAAAAATTATCCTGAAGTAATCCATCTTTTGTAGTACCTCTTTTGGCATTTGGAAGAAGGACACCATGTATACATGTTGGCAGACACATAACTGGTAAGGGCGAGGGATTTCATTTCCAACTGTTTAGTTGCTTTTCTGTTCTTTCTCCAACATATACTTCCAGTATGGGACCGGTGGGCCTGCTGGCTCGCAGGGGCCTGATCATGGGGCCAAGGGTGGCCAACCCATCGGTGGCTCGGGCCGCGCTATGGATGTTGATATGGCCGGACAGGATGCAGAGCCTGAGGATAGCCTGCCAGACACGTCTATTGACACAGAGACTGGGAACCAGCTGGGCATTCAAGAACTGGCGCTTGACGAAGGGAAGGAGCCCGCGATGCCTGGGACTCTGGTGATTGCGGACACGGCTGGGAGCAGCCCGCCCACGTCCCGTGCCTTAGTGGGGGCTTTCAGCCTGGTGGGCTCGGCGCCGCTGCCTGTTGCTGGCCGCCTTGATGTGGCTGGCGGCCCAGCCTCCCCCCGCCTGCTTGGTTCTGACTTGGGTGTGGTGCTCAACGAGCCTGCTGTTGCCACCCCTCTGTCTAGCCGTCGCAGCTCGGGGGGATCCGGTCGTGCCCCCAAGAAGTCGGACGGGCGGAAGCCCTCTGCCAAGCTTGCCACGCTGGCGCTCCCGTCTCCTGTGGCGCCGACCGTGGTGGATCTTCAGGCGGCGTTGGGCTCTGCGGGCACGGCGGCCAAGGCGCGCCGCTCTCGGGCTTCCCCGGTCCCCCAGCGTGCCCCCAGCGCTCGGGCCAAGGCGGCGTTGGGCGATCTGTCTTCCCTGGAGAGTGCGCAACTTCGTCTGGCGGATAAGAACATGGAGATCTCAGGTAACCCTCCCCCCTCTTTTAAGATTCTGAACGCTTTCACCGATCCTCAACTAGCTACGATCTTAGACGACAGCGGTTTCGAATTAGGCGAAGACCGTGGTGAGCTTGTGTCTCTTATCCGTGCTCGCGAGGAGGCTCAAGCGGCTCTGGCTGAAGCGGCTGCTGCGGCCAGGGCCAGTGAAGCCGAGGACACGACGCTGGGGATCCCTGCCACTCCTGTGTCTTCGGATTCCCCCTCCCTGCTTGTCCTGTCGGAGGGTGCTGCTGCAACCAGGGAGGTTGCCGCAGTGCCAACGACTAGCCGTGCCCAGGCTTAGAAACGTGTGGCTAAGCCGGTGACCTCCAGAGGGGTTCGCCTCCGCAACCGCATTATCTGATGCGTTACATCTTCTGGAACATCCGGGGTTGCGGGCACTCGGGACGTCACACGCAACTTAGGGAGTATATTGCTCGTGAAAGTATCGACGTCGTAGCTCTTCAAGAAACTATCAAGGCGGCCTTTACTTTTCGCGATCTTTCGGCTTATGATCCTCTGCATCGTTTCATGTGGGGTTGGGTCCCTTCCGTTGGTCATTCGGGTGGTCTTCTCTTGGGATGTAATTCTGATGTGTGTGATATTGTAACCTGGGATGTTGGTTCTTTTTTCATTGCTGTTACGATTAAGCATAGAATCTCGCTCGCCTCCTGGGCGATTGTCTGTGTCTACGGCCCGGCCGATCACACGCGCTCGGCTGATTTCCTGAGCGAAATCCAAGTCTTGGTTGGGGCCAAGCAAGCTGCTAACATCCCCATTGTTCTAGGGGGTGATTTTAACCTTATTCGTTCGAGCGCAGACAAAAATAATGGCAACATTGACTGGACTAGGATCTCCGTTTTCAACAATGCCATTGCGGCCTGCGCCTTACGTGAGCTCGCTAGGACTGGGGCAGATATACTTGGACCAATAAACAACTCAATCCAATCCGTAGTGTCCTCGATCGTGTGTTCGTCTTGGCTGACTGGGAGATGATCTTTCCCATGTGCACCTTGGTCGCGGAAACTCGCATTGGCTCTGACCATGTTCCGCTGATCCTGGCCTCTGGGGAGGATAGGATCAAGCGTAGCAAGCGTTTCTACTTCGAACCAGGGTGGTTTGAGGTAGAGGGCTTCATTCCGTTGCTCCTCGCTCGCTGGGAGCTTGTCAGGACTGCGTGTGGCTGCTCCAGGGGCCCCCTAGACACTTGGATTGCGGCTGCCGGTGCCTTGCGTGGCTTCCTTCGTGGGTGGGGAGCAAACCATGGTAGCGAGGCAAAGCGAGCTAGGGAAGCTCTTATCGAGGAAATTAAAGCTCTCGATATCCAGGCAGACTCCAGTTCCTTTTCGGAGGCTGGGTGGGCTTGCCGTTACGCCCTCGAAAACCAAGTCTTGGCCATCCTCAGGGAAGAGGAGGAATACTGGCGCCGTAGGGGCGGCGTCAAGTGGGTCACCAAGGGGGATGCTAACACATGATACTTCCACGCCTTCGCCAATGGCCGTAAAAGGAAATGTTCGATCCTGAGACTGCAATCGGACCAGGGGTTTTTGGTTAGCCAGGCCGATATCTCGAGACATATATACGATTTTTTCCTTTCCCTCCTGGGAACGGTGGAAGGGAAGGTTTTGCGTCTGTGTGAGGACTTCTGGGGGGAAGAATCACAGGTCACACAAGCCGATAACGATGGTCTTGCTTTATCCTTCTCCACTCAGGAGATCGACGATGCGCTAGGCTCAATGAAGACCGATACCACGCCTGGGCCTGATGGCTGGCCGGTGATCTTCTTTCGGCGGTTCTGGCCGGCGCTCAAGGACTTGTTTTACGACATCATCAACGGGTTTGCGTTGGGCACGGTCGACATCTCGCGCCTTAACTACGGTGTCATCAGTCTCATCCCTAAAGTGAAGGGGGCCGATTCGATTAAGCAATACCGGCCTATCACTCTTATTAACGTCCCTTTCAAGATCTACTCCAAGGCTTACACCACGCGTCTTGCCCTGGTTGCTCAACGTGTGATCGACCGTAGCCAGTCCGGTTTCCTCAAAGGCCGTAACATCCTGGAAGGCCCGGTGGTTTTGCAAGAGATCGTCCATGAGCTTAAGCGCACACGCCATCCGGCCGTGCTTTTTAAGCTCGATTTAGAGAAAGCTTACGACCGAGTGAACTGGGAGTTCATTCATGAAGTACTCACTCGGAAGGGATTCGAGTCGGGTTTCATCCACCGCATTATGCATCTGGTTTCGGGGGGCCAGACAGCGATGTCGATTAACGGAGAAGTAGGGAACTTCTTCCGCAACAAGCGTGGGCTCAGACAAGGAGACCCCTCCTCGCCTTTAATCTTCAACTTTGTTGCCGATGCCCTCTCGGCCATGGTGAACAAGGCCAAGTCCGCTGGCCACATCCGAGGTGTTGTTCCTCACTTGTGCCC